ACAAATGAGACCATGTCTAAGGAATTAAAGAAGGTAGATAATATCAATAAAGGGACAGAAATTATAAAAATAACCAAATTGAAATTGTGAAGGTGAAAATGACAATAACTGACCTGAAAAATTATTTAAAGGGACTCAATAGCACATTAGAGTTGGAAAAAGAAAGAACTAGCAAACTTAGAGATAGTTCAGTGATAGATTATGCAATCTGAAGAACAGAATGAAAAAGAAGAAAAATGAACAAAGCCTCAGAGACATGTGAAACACCATTAAGTGTACCAACATATGCATAATAGGAGTACAAGAAGAATAGAGAGAAAAAGAGTTAGAAAAAATATCCAAAAAAGTAATGTCTAACACCTTCCCAAAGTTGACGGAAAACATTAATCTACACATCTAAGAAGCTCAACAAATTCAAAATAGGATAAATGCAGAGAGACTCACAGCCAGACACATCATACTGAAAATATTGAAAGCCAAAGGCAAAGAAAATCTTAAAAGCAGAAAGAGGAAATGGTACGTACAAGAGCCTCAATACAATTAACAACTGACTTCTCATCAGAAACAGCAGAAACCAGAAGGCAATGGGATGACATTCAGAGTACTAAATGAAAGACTGTCAACCAAGAATCTTAAATACAGTAAAATTATTTTTAGGAAATGAAGATATTATAAATACATTCCCGGATAAATAAAAGCTGAAGGAATTTGTGCTACCAGATCTGCCTTACAAGAAATACTAAAGATGGTTATTTGGGGTGAAAGCAAGTGATACCAGACAGTAATTTGAATTCACATAAAAAAGCAAAAAGTGCTTATAAAAGTAACTATGTAATTAATTATAAAGAACAATATAATAACATTTCTTCTTTCTATTCTTAACCAATTTAAGTAGTTGCATAAAATAATAAATATTTGTATATAATTACATATATTTTCTCATTTGGCTTCTATGCAAATGTAAAATCTTTGACAATAACAGCATAAAGGAAGTGAATTGGAGCAATGCTGTGTAGGAATAACGAAAGGACACCAGATAGTAACTCAGATCCATAGTCAGAAATAAAGACAATTTAAAAATATTAAATAAGAAGGTTAGTACAACAAACTCTATAAGCTTGTACTTGCTCTGCTTTCTTCTCTTGACTTTCTTGAAAGTTGTAACACTACATAAAGTACTAATTATAAGTGTATTGTTATAATTCCAAATGTTTTATTAGAAAATATGTAACATGAAAGAGAAACAGTAAAGAAGGAACAAAGATGTCATGACACAAAGAAAACAAACCATGTAGGATCTTAACTACATAATCCCCAAAATACACAAAGCAAAATAAGTTAGAACTGAAGACAGAAATAGACAATTTAACAATAATAGTTGGAGACATTAATACCCTACTTTCACTAATGGATGCAACAACTAGGCAGAAGATCAACAGGAAACTGAAGGTTTGAAGAACTCTGAACCAACTAGACCTGACATATATACAGAAAACTTCACCTAAAATAGCATAATACATAGTCTTCTCAAGTGCACATGGAACATTCTACAAGACTATATGTTAGACTATATGTTAGGCCATTTAAAAACTTTAGTTAATTTGTAAAGGATTGACATCATACAAAGAATGTTCTCCAACCACAATGGAATTAAATTAGAAATCAATACCCTAAGGAAATTTGGAAAATTCACAACTATGTGTAAGTTAAATGACATGTTTTAATTTCTAAATTAGCAAATGAGTAAAAATAAATCACAAGAGAAATTAGAAAATATCTTGAAAGGATGAAAATGAAAACAAAATACACAAAAACTTATGGTATGGAGCTAAAAAAGTACTCAGAGGGAAAATTATATTTGTAAATTCTTATATTAAAATTAAAGAGTAATGTCAATTTCTACCTTAAGAAACTACAGAGATAGGAACACTAAACTCAAAACAAGCAGAAGAAAATAATCCAGATTAGTGTGGAAATAGGGGATAGAAAAACAATAGAGAAAAATCAGTGAAACTAAAATTTGGCTCTTTGAAAAGAACAAAAATCAAGAAAATAATTCAATTTATAGTAGCTTTAAAAATATATAAGGAATAGATTCAACAGAAATACCAACAAGACTTGTATACTAAAAACTACAAAATATTATTGAATGAAATAGATGACCTAAATAAGTGGAAAGATGGTTCATCTTTGTGGATCAGAAGTTTTAATATTGTTAAGATGGCAATACTTCAAAATTGTTATATAGATTCAATGCAATCCCCATCAAAATACAAGCTGTTGTTTTTTGGGGAGCAGTAATCAACATCCTCATAGAAGATATATAGTAGTGAAAACAATCTTGAAAGAGAAATTAGAAGAATTACACTTTCCTAAAGTAATCTACAGTAAATCTACAGTGATCAAGATAGTGTTGTATTGGTTTAAGGATAGATACATATATCAATGGAACAGTCAAGAAATAGACCCTTATATTTAGGATCCCTGGAATTTTGGTAAAGGTACCAAGGCGATTCAAGAGAGAAAAGAACAGTCTTTTGAACAAACAAATGGTGCTAGGACAACTGAATATCCACATGCAACAAAATGAGATCAGATTTCTACTTCACACTATACACAAACTTTACCTCCAAATAGCTCACAGATCTAAATGTAAGAGCTAAAACTATGTAACTCTTAGAAGAAAACATGGGAGTATATCTTTGTGACTTTGAATTGGGCTATCATTTATTAAATATGATTCCGAAAGCTCAAGGGACGATGAAAAATAGTTAAAATGGCCTGTATAAAAATTAAAAACTTTTGAGCTGCAGAGGACATTATTGAAGAAGTGAAAAGACCACCCACAGAATGGGAGGGCAACTTTGGAAATATTATATCTGATAAGAGATTGGTATTCAGAATATATATTCCAATCACAAGGAGCAGTATGAGGAATCTCAAGACATCCAGTTTAGTGATTGTGAAGGGAGTAGTGAGAGATAAAGCTAGGACCAAATTACACCCCAGCTTGGATACTTGTCACTTTGAAAAAGTTACTTAAATTCTTATGGAGTGTCCTCTTAAAACAATGGAGATAACAATACCTTCTACCTTGGGGTTATTGGGAGAGTTAAACGAAGCAGTACACTTTAAGTACTTTTCACACTGTCTGGCACAAAGTAAGTGTTCCATAAATGTTTTCTGTGTTTTGGCATGGAAAATCTTGAATACCAACCTAAGACATTTGAGCCTTTATGTTGTGGGGAGCAATAAATAAAGATTTCAAATAGAGGAGTAGCATACTCAGAGCAATGCTTTAGGAAGATTAACTTGGCAGTGAGTTATCTGGAGTTGATAGAAGCAGAGATTGGAGATGGAAGGAAGCCATCATAATAGCCCAGGAGAGGTAGTGAGAGTTTGAACTTGGTATATTGATAGTGTATAAAATGGCTATGTAAAACTGTATAAATATTACTGACAGTTTGGTGGTGTTGTGACACAAATAACAAACATAGGAGAAAGGTCAATTTTATATATACTGAATTTGGGATACTAGTGGGACCTCCAGGAAGAAATATGTGACAGGCATTTGGAAATTCAGTACCGGAGGTCAGGGTTTGAGAGAATGTGGAAATTGTTGCCTGGAGGTTGTAGCCAAGACCTTGTATGAGATTATCAAAGAGAAGAAAGGTAGGGACAGAAGAGAAGATAGTCTAGGACAGAACACTTAGAGATGAGAAAATGAAGAAAAGTCAAATAATATGACTTTAATTGCCTTTCATAAAACTTTGTTGTTGCTATCTTTTATACCTTTCCTCATTCCTGCCGACTGATTGTTTATCTGTCTTTCTCAGTACCACAGCTAAATGGACCATCTGTAGTGCCCCTGAAATGTTTAAAGATAGATAGCTTTGTTCTTACATAGCCCCTAAGTCATTTTGCCTTTTCCCCCAAGGCTGACACAAGATCTATGAAGATGGCAGACCAGTTTTGTTTCTGAAGAACATAAAGGCATGATAAGAAGCTAAGCTTAGGTTTGGTTTGTCTTATAAGTGTTCTCAGAAATTGCAGGAAAAAATATGGGAAATCTTGAGGAACTATGAGGTGGCTAGTAATATGCCTGACTCTTTCTCAATAAAAATTTGAAAATTGATTTTTATCTTGAAATCTCTGTGTTATCCAGAGAGAGGACAGAATAGTTGTAAGGATAAAAATGGGATTGTAATCCTGCTGCATGAAATAAAATTGCCTGTGGATTTCTTTGGTGCCAGTTGTTTTGTTAGTTCCTTCAGGCATTAGTGCATATAGCAGCCAGAAGTGAAAGGCGATTTGAGGCCATCATTCTTGACTTTCCTGAAGAACTGAGGGAGTGCCTGCTTGTGCCTAAGTGCGGGAGTTCTTTGTCATAAGAGGAAAATGACTTGAATTGGCCGATTCACTTTCTTTGTTTCTGACTAGGTCCTTGTGTTTTAATTAACTTTTACAAGTGAATAATGGGCAATAGCCACAATCCTGTGGGCTGGAGAAGGAATTGTGTGGTGTTCTGCTGCATTATAAAAAAGTGCATAAGTCTTTGATACTAGAAGGTTTTTGTGATACTGTAAAATTAACGAACTGGCTCTATTCTCCACTAGACTTTTTATGACCTTTTAATTCCATTCTTGGGTTGGGGGTTTTGTGTATGTGTTTTTTGTTTGTCTTCCTTTACTTGCACATTTAGGAAACTTCTAAATCAATCTGGTTTCAAACCTATTTTTAGTGTTCTTACCAAGATCAACTGAGTTCTGTTATATCCAGATGGGACCTTTTACACCTTTCAACTTCACCTCTCCCTTAGTACCAATTGCATGAGTGAAGGGGTTGAGGCTTGAGAGTAAGCTTGTATTCCCAACCCAAAATGATATGAGTAACATGCAGAAGCAGTTTTAATATGGGGAATTTGAGGAGGGGCTCCATAGAATAAGAATATACTTAACCTGTATTATAACAGCTTACAATTTAATTTCATCTTCTTGCAGCAAGTACAAATGGATCCTAGGTGAGGAACCTGTGGAGAAACGAAGAAGGCTCCAGAATGAGATGATGACACCTCCTCTAGATTATTCCATGCCTGGTCCTTACAGGAGGATAGAGGCAGCTGTTGCTTATCCAGAAGGGGAGAACAGCCATGATAAATCCAGTTCTGAGAGAAGTACACCACCATACCTTTTCCCAGAATACCCAGAAGCAAGCAAGAATACAAGTCAGAGTAGGGAAGCTTCAGTTCTTTATCCAGGGGCTCAAGATCAATGCCAGGAGTCCCTGCCTCCTGAAGAATTAGAAGATCAGATGCCAAGATTAGTAGCAGAAGAATCTAACAGAGGTAGCACAAGCATAAACAAAGAAGAAGTAAACAAGGGACCTTTTGTAGCTGTTGTTGGTGTTGCCAAAGGTGTTAGAGATTCAGGCGCTCCCATTCAGCTGATCCCTTTTAACAGAGAGGAGCTTGCTGAGAGACGAAAAGCAGTTGAATCCTGGAACCCAGTGCCTTTTTCTTCTGTGGCCTCTGCTGCAATCCCTGCTGCAGCCATTGGGGAGAAAGGAAAAGCCTGTGAGGAGAATAATACACCAAAGATGAAGAACCAGAGAGAGCTGGAAGAATTGAAGAGAACCACTGAAAAATTGGAACGAGTTTTGGCTGAAAGGAATTTGTTCCAGCAAAAGGTTAGAGGAGGACCTTGCCACTGAGATCTTTGTAACCAAGGGACTGGGATGTTGGTGCTCTGTTGATTTCATGTTCTGAGGCCTTTTAAACAAAATTTGCCCTTGAACTATTCTGTGGTGTATGTCAGATTGATTGAACTCTAATAGGCTTTCTTCCCATATTTTGGGATTTAGAAGGTATATAAGTATGGAATATGTATAACAGAATCACAGGGTGACTATAATTAGAAACAGTTCTGGCATTCTCTTTAGCTTTCAGTAGTATGTTGGGTCATTGAATTTCTGTTTCTTGGATTGCAGGTGGAGGAGCTGGAACAGGAGAGGAATCACTGGCATTCTGAATTCAAGAAAGTCCAACATGAATTGGTCACCTACAGTACCCAGGAGACAGAAGGCTTGTATTGGAGCAAGAAACACATGGGTTATCGCCAAGCCGAATTCCAGATTCTGAAAGCTGAGCTGGAAAGAACCAAAGAGGAAAAGCAAGAATTAAAAGAGAAACTGAAGGAGACAGAGACACACCTGGAAGTGCTGCAGAAGGCTCAGGTCTCCTACCGGACCCCAGAGGGAGATGACCTAGAAAGGTTAATTACTAGGGTTTAGTTTCAGCTTGTGAGTGCTAATGGGGAGCATCCCTTAGGACTCCCAGTCATAGACAAGGGAGAAGCCTTAATTCATAGGCCACCAAGGATTGAGTAATTCTTAGAAAGCTGTAGTCAGTCTCCCTATGCTTGGTGGCATTGTGCTTTCTTCTTTCTTTCTAGCTAATGGAAACAATTGTTGAGAAATGTAGGCCCATTTTGAAGGGACTTCATTTTATTCTGTTGGCTAATGACTTCATGTCATCTCTTCTCCTGCCCCCTCACTCCATCATACAGGGCTTTGGCAAAGCTTACGCGACTGCGTATCCACGTCAGCTATCTTCTTACTTCTGTCCTCCCTCACTTGGAGCTTCGTGAGATCGGGTATGACTCAGAACAAGTGGATGGGATCCTGTACACAGTGCTGGAGGCAAATCACATATTGGATTGAGCACCAGACTCTGTATACTTCTTCTGCCATTCTCTACCCTTCTTTTCTACCCTTCTCTTCTCCTCTCCTCTCTTTTTTCCTCTCTTCTCCCTCCCCTCCTCTTCCCTTCCCTCTCTCCTCCTTCCGTCCCTCTCCTACATCTTTCTCTTTCTCTCTCTCATACCTTTATGCCTTATATGGAGATTCTTTGTGTAAATCCTGGCTCTTAGACAGTCTGCCTTTTATTTAGTTTTGATGTGGAGAAAGAGGCCTGTTAAACAGGCTTTCAAGAGTCTAGGGACAGAAAAGCAGTAGTCACCAAGCTCGGTGACCTAAATGCTTTAATTTTCATGACCTAGATACTTGGCCCATTTCATATCCTTTCTGAAATGGCTTGCATACATTTAGGTTAAATCAGTCAGCATATACTGGGTCCAATGTACCAGGTGTTTTGGGATAAGCTAAGAAGTGTAACTCATGGTTTCAACTTTCAAAGATCTAACAACCTAGTTGGAAACTCACAACATATATCAAGTTAATAACTATACACAAAAACGTATGATATGTACAAGTAAGTGATACAAAAAGGACATAGAAAATGTGGAGAGGAAGTTCAAGGAAGGCATCACACCAGAAATGGGACCTAAATAAGGTTTAGAGAATGAGCATGAGCACATGGTTAATGAGTGTTTTTTAGGTGGTAGGACTATGGTTGATATTTTTTCTTCTTGCTATCTCCTACCTTTTTCAAATTTTCTATATTAAGCTTGTATTCTTCTTACATTGGAAAAAATAAATTGTTTTTAAAAATATCATGTAGGCTCAGTTTTGGATATTAAATGAGAGTGTGAAAATATAAGGTAATGTTATAGTTTTAATTTGTGTTAAATTTAGTATTTCTTCTGAAAGAACAGCATAAACAAAGGCATAGAAAAATTTAAAATGCGAAAAATGTGTTTGGTAGGAGTGGTGGGCTAATGTAAAAGGGAACCTAGGTTAAATCATGACCTGCTTACTCATCTACACCTTTGATATTTTATTTTAATAAGGAGTTTTTGAGAAATAAATCTTCAAGGGTCAAATTTTAAAAATATATGATTCAAATTGTAGAATTTCAGGGGTAGTAGGGGAAGAGTTTTAAAGCAGAGAGATCTATCTGATGTCCCTCAGAGTGTGCCTACCTACTCTACAGGGTAGTGCTGAGTAAAGGGAATACCTCATGTCACCAGAAATAGTAAAACTTACCCTTGTAAAAAGAGACAGTTTATTCATTGCTTTATTATATTTATACAGTACATAGTCTCCAAAGAGTTCAAGGTATTCTTCAAAAGACGTTGAACAATTAACACATAAAAATATGCCAACAGTGAAAAATAAGTAGAGGAGAAACAATAAAAGGGAGGTAAGATTAAGCAATGGCAAAAGGATTAGCTAGTCAAGAGGAAATGTTTTGGATATTCATTCTGTTTCTTCTCTGCAGAGTTGCTTCAGAAGAGTTTCCAAACTTATTTTACCTCCTTTGAAAGGAGGCCCCTCATGGATAGTCCAGTGAGACTGCAGGGAATAAGGGGAGGCCAGAGCCAGGTTTCACCATTAGAATGAGTACTTAAAGATATCCCCGACCCCCTTACACTCCACCTCACCACAGCTTTAGCTTGTCACAAGATTAATTTTCATTTTAGACATTTGGATTATGATAGTCAAGACCCCAGTTATCTAAATGTAAATATTACTGAGGGAAGGAGAGCACATTCAGCCATTCTTTCAGTGATACTTATTCATCAGATAGGGGCTGTGAAGATGTGGGACTTTGCACAGATATGGATAATATGAATGAAAGTCTGGTGGAGAAAAAAATTAAGAACATTGAAGACTCAGCCTGTGTGAGTGTTTGTTGGGGGAGCAAAGGGGCAGAGTAGGAAGGAGGACAGGCAATTAGGCTTTTAAAGGAAAATGGCAGGAAAATTTAACTCATCTTTACTAGTGCTTACTCAGCCCATTCCCTGGTCCGTGGGCTGGGCCCCACACTGCTTTTTCCAGCAGCACTTAACCTGTGTGAGTCCATTCACTTCAATATCAGAGCTATCCCTTTGTGATCACTATAAAACCATACCAGCATGAGGTATCTTTGATGGTAAATGCCACTGTGGAAAGATTGAAAAGTGTCTCCCAGCCTTACCAGAGTTTATGATCTAGTGTGGTGGCAAAAGTCATTGAGGAGAAAAAAAGTAGACGACTCCTGGCTTTCCTAACCATAATTCTTTCAAATGCCTCTTACATTTGCTCTTTAACTTTCCATTGCCATAATCAACATTTAGGTCCTTACTACCTTACACCTTGATTATTTAAGTAAATTATTAGATGGCCTCCCTTACTTCCTATTCTACCACCTCAATCCACCTTACTCAATGTCACCAAATTGCTTTTAACAACTTCATCAGGTCATGCCTCTGCTCAAAGACTTGCTAATGTTCCCAGTTGACCATCAAATGCAATACAAATTCCCTAGCATGGTGCTCAAAGCCCTTTGTGATCTGGCTTCAACCAGCCTTTCTAGGTTCATCTTGAAACATTCCAAACACAAGCCACATCCATTCAAACTGAACTATTTTTTGGTTTCTGAACATGCCTTAAGATTTCCTCCTCCACCTTTGTTATTTCATTCCCTTTGCCTGAAATGTTTTCCTTCATCATCTTTCCTTTGGCTTAGATATCATATTTTTTTCCCTGCAAATTCCTTCAATTAACCCAGCTAGACCTGACATTTCTCTTTGAACATTTAAGTTTTATCTCACTTATAAGGCTCTTATCACAAAATTCCTTATCTTGTCTTCCCTATTAGAAAGCTCCAGATAGAGATATTCAACTGTCTACTTGACATTATGCTTACATGTCTCACAAGCATTTCAAATAAAACATATTAAAAATAAACAGTGGCATACACAGGGACTGTTCCTCCCCCGCTCCCCATTTTCTTCATCTTAGAAAATGGCACCTCCACCTACCTGGATGCTTCAGCTAGAAACCTGGAAGTCATCCTTAATTTTCTTCTTCTTGCATCCCCCACATCCAGCTTGTCAACAAGTTTGTCAGTTCTACTCCAAAGTATGTCTTGACTCTACTCATGCTTACCACAGCTACCTTAGCCAAACTGCTATCATTTCCTACAGACCATCATAACTCCTAACTGGAGTCCTTGCTTCCAGTCTTGTTCCCACATAGTCTTATCACTATAGATAGTACTTTTTTTTCTGAGTCAGCATCTCACTCTGTCGCCCAGGCTGGAGTGCAGTGGACATGCTCATGGCCACTGCAACCTCGACCTGCTAGTCTTAGGTGATCTTTCTGCCTCAGTCTTTCAAGTAGCTGAAACTACAGGGACACGCCACCATGCCGAGCTAATTTTGTAATTTATTGTAGAGATGAGGTCTTGCCAAGTTGCCCAGGCAGGTCTTGAACCTGTGGGCTCAGGCAGTCCTCTCACCTTGGCCTCCCAAAGTGCTGGAATTATAGGCGTGAGTCAGTGTACCCGACCTTAGACAGTACTTTTAAAAAACATACAAGTCAGATCATGTGACTCCCCTGCTTAAAGTCCTTAAATGACTTCTCATTTCACTTAGAATAAAATCTAGACCTCTTCCAGTATCCTATGAGACCCCTGCCTACTTCTACTTTGTCTCATGTGACCCTTCATCATATACCACTTTAACCCTGGCTCACTGTGGTCTTCCCACTGAAACATGCAAGCTCTTATTTACCTCAGAGCTTTTACCCTTGCTATTCCCTCTCCTGGAACATACTTTATGCATACTGCTCCCTCCACTGGAATTTTCTTATCCCCATCCTTGGCATGGTGACTATTCCTTGTCCTTTAGGTTCTATAAGATAGGCCTTCCTTGGCAGCCTTTTTTCTTTGTCTACCCTATACTCTATCACTGTTTTCTTCAATTCATAACACTTCTCACAATTTATAATTACATATTTGGTCATTTATTTTCACTTGTTCAACACGTTTATTGGGTACCTTCTTGTGTGATATATAGTGGTTAACACAACACAAGTCTGCCCTCTTCACTAAGTTCCATGATGGGAAGTGACACCCCTGCTTTTGCCAACCACTGTATCCTAGAGCTTATCATAATACCTGGGCTATGCATAGTACCCGGAGGTAAGCAATAAGTGATTGTTAATGATGGAAATTGTTTTGTCATCTATCTCCCTCAGGGGCCTAAAGCAGTGCCTTGTTCATAGAAAGGGTTGGATAATATAGCATAAGTGAGGTGGATAACAATCTTGGACATAAACATGGAAAATGAAAGACTGAGACAATAAGTGCTATAAGTTATGAGGGGCGATCGGTGTGAGCTGGAGTTGCCTAGTGTTTCTCTGTAGCTGGTTTTTTTAATATGAATATATTAATAGAATGGCTTTCAAAGAGGGAAAGGAATATGGAATTATTGTAAACATTCTGAATATTATCAAAAGAAGGCTCCCTAGCACACAGTTTTTAAGTACTGAGAACCACAGAAGAAAACCAGGAGAAGGATGTAGAGACCAGATCTCGAGAGTGAAAACTAAACAGAAAACTTGAGGAGGTTTTTTGTTTACTTTTTTTCAGTAGTTAATAGTTTATTTCAGCCGGGCTCGGTGGCTCAGCCTGTAATCCCAGCGCTTTGGGAGGCTGAGGTGAGTGGATTGCCTGAGCTCGCAGGTTTAAGACCCACCAGAACAACGTGGCGAGACCTCATCTCTGCAAAAAAAAAAAAATTAGCCGGGCGTGGTAGCATGCGCCTGTAGTTCCAGCTACTTGGAAGGCTGAGGCGGAAGGATTGCCAGAGCCCAGCCGATCGAGGCTGCGGTGGCTGGGAGTGGCCACGGCACTCCAGTCTGGGTGATGGAGTGAGACTCTGACTCAAAAAAAAAAAAAAAAAAAAGTTTATTTCAAGAGAAAAAAGAGGAGATATCCACAAACAAAGAACAAAGAATAAGTCTCAAGGAAACAAGTTCTGGACACATGTTAGGAGGTCAATACATGCTTGTCAGATGAACATAAACTCTGGGCACCTGGAAGAGGACCAGACACCTTGTAACTCCGGGGGACAGGAAGATTTGCTTGTCCAGGCTCAGGGATAGCCAAT